CTGGCGCTCGTGTCACGATCCCGAGTCGTTTATTTTGTATATCGCCTTGCTTTGAGCGTGGCTGTGGATCGGTGGGTTGTGGACAGATCAAGGCACGTTAGAACTACACCAGCGCGTCTGATCAGTGACATTTTAAGTTATACTGCATTTGGACTGGTTGCAATTGTCTCCAAATAATAAATACCCCCGTCATTACCTTGTGGTGTGTTTGTATCTCCATGGCCCATGACCGTGTGATGTGATAGAACACTTCAGCGATGTTGGATATGCTATTAGCATGTAGATTGCAGCTTCCAGCCTCATTCCATGCTGATAGAGTTTGTTGATGCTTGCTGCCTTGTTGTCATCAAATATTGTTCATTTTTAGCATGTTTTTCTATGTGAGCCTACAATACATGTTCTGTAGGCATGTGGCTCATTTAAATTCGTCATGAACTAAAAGAAGATGCATTGGGCCTAAGGATTATATTATGGTGCACAGATCAAGGTCAGGTCAGGTCAAACAAAGACCGCATGAGACCTGTAGGATGCACAGCATGATGGTCCAGGGAGTAGGCAGCGTCTCCCCCATTTCCTGTAGATGACATTTTGCAGGATGCGGAATATTATGAAGTATGGGCCCTGGTTCTTCTGTTGGATCGCCTGAAACGTGAAATCAGATCGTAGCCATTGAATGCACCACATGATGCAAACATTGCCCATAGGAAATGTGGGAACTTTAGCCTATAGCTCAAATCCTTTGCTAAGCTCTGAATGGCAGTCAATAGTGCCTTTAGAAAAATGTTTATTGATCTGTTTTTTGGTGGAAAAGATGGAACAAATAGTGTGAGGATGACAATGAAAACAATGAAAAGGTGTCATTTTCCCCCCAGATGTCAAAGAGATTTAACACTGAATAACAGTCGATGCGCCCTAAATCCCCAAATCATCATCAACACTGAATAACGCTTATTTGTCTTAGGAAAATCGTAAGAGCGTCTCAGGCTTCTTGTATCTATGCCACTCCGCAGCGCATTACTTACGTTCCGGTACTATCGCCTCGGCTACGCCAGGTCATCTTTGATAAGCCAGGTCGGATTTGCCATGTGTGATTCGGTCTAAGCTTTTGAATGTGAAATCTGTGATTTGCTGGAAAGGAACTGACCACATTTGCCCTAGCTTGCCGTCACTACACCTGGCGTCACGCGCCAGGTGAGGCCAGGTGCGCGATTGCACGGACCGGACATCACGCGCACGCGAGCTGTCCATCTAGATTTGCCCGTTTTCGACAGCTGGTTTTCCACGTTTAATGCTACGTCTCGGCAGCTAAAGCCGGTGGTGACTCAATCTAACTTCAAAGCGCTGACCAACGCACTGCACGATTTGTGTGGCGAACATTTGTTTGTCGGGATTGTAGGCATTTCGAAAAGCGGTGGCGAACGCACCACGCTGTCGCCGAAACTATCATCTGGATCATTACATCACCACATGCGCCGCTTCATTGCCCGGATTTACGACCCAGTTGTCGTTCCGTGTATTTTCCCATGTAGCCGAATACCACCGATCTACGTTGAGTCGCCGCTGCCGAATACTTGAAGTAAGCCGCCCTGGGCTTGTTTCGGGTTGCCTACCTTGAAAGTAGGTTCCGTTCCTGTAGTACCTAACTTCAAGGGATGCGCCGGAATGCGCTTTGAAGAGGCTGCGGAGAGCGACAGATGCTTCGCGGCGACGTTGGGGAGCGACTACGGTCATCTATGGATGCTGTTGCTGCCAACGCTGAATCGGCGTGGGCAGTGACGATCAGAGCGGATTTCTTAAGGGTCAGGAGTGCGCAACGAAACCTAGCGGCAACCGCAACCGCAGTGAGGAATTTGGGAGCTTGATATGAAAGCTGAACACGGGACTAGGAATTCGGTCATGTAACGTTTGCAGTTGTAATCCTCGGATGATTACATAAAGTATTTCCGTATCATGGCGGCTTGGTGCCCCATCGGCTTGGCCGTAAGACCAAGATTGGCACCTGTGTACTCTATGGAACCGTTCAACTCAAGTTTTCATTGGTGCAATCTCCATCCATCTACGGCGTCATTCAGGAACAATAATCAGGCCTCGTTGTCCGTGTTAACGTTCCCGGAGCACGCGGTGTGACGGGTGGTCAGCAAAATTACTCTATTTTAGTCGGAGTTCCGCTGCCCATTCATCCATGGTGCCAGGCGGAATATGATGGAATATCGCTCGTCGCTTCGCTATATGTTTCTCCGCTTCTTACGCTGTGAGTTATTGAATCAAGGTTTACTTAAGCTGTCCTGTCAGTTTGTGAAATTACTATTGTAAACCAAACGAGGCGTGGTAATTAAGCTAGACGGAATATGCTATCAACACAGGACGAGAGGTTGAGGAGTCATGTTTCCGGTCGTGTTTAGGTAAATCTGACAAATAATAGCAATTAGCTGACTGAGAACTGTTCAGGTAATAGTAAGCGCACCCCCAAACCAGATCAACAGTTGTCCAGCGAAGGGGTGGGTCAATTTTGTCCATATATTGTTTGGTTTGGCGTGTATCTGTCCCGTCTGTCCCATTCTTCGTCGTGCTCGGGCCGCACGGCGAGTCGGCAAATGGCATCATTCGGATATGATGCACGTGCGCATGAAATACCGCGCGGTGCCGAGTTTCTTGGGCACGCGGCTGGCGGCTGGCGCGTGGCACTTGAAGCAAGGTGCTCCTTTCGTCCATTGGTTTTGTACTGGTAGCGGTGGAATGCGAGCGGCGCGAAACAGCCAAGCAGCCGTTCGCAGCCCTTCCCACATGTCGGTAACCTCAGGTCGGAGCGACCATTGGCACATAGTGCTGGGTAATAAAAAGGAAAACGCGTGGCGGCAGATTCACGTCGCTCGGGTCCCATGTCCCGTGCAAGGAAGCGGTTAGGACGGTTTCCCCGTGCTGACTGGGTTTCGCGTTTCATGCCATGCCTCGGCACCCACAGCTGGCGGACGTTCCATGCCATACCTCGGTAACCAGAGCTGGCGGACGTTCCATGCCATACCTCGGCACCCACAGCTGGCGGACGTTTCATACCGCGCTTGGCAGCCAGTAAGGGTGGATGCGCAATTCTAGTTTCGGAGCGCCGACCAACGTACCGTCCGCAAGTCATGGGATCAACGCGAATTTGCGTGACTTTTCATGGCGCCAGCGATTCCAAGGCACGGCAGGAGTATCCGCATCTCGAAAAAACGGTATCAAATGCAACAGGCTGTCGCTTAATCTGTAGCCAGGGTCGCCGCGAAATGTACATCGCTGCATGCGCCGACCTATTTTCCGCGTTTACCATGTACTTATTCGTCTCTCTGTGCGCTATCCCGCCCAAGGATTAATTCAGCTATAAGATTGCCATTGCACATTTTTTGCGTCGTCAAAATGTCGCCGGCTGATAGCTCGGTCGCCGTCGGCGAGCGTCTTAAGTAAGAGCGACGAACCGCGCACGCGCGCCTGCGGTCGGCAGCAGTAACCTACTCAGGCTACGCAACCTATTAAGTAAGTTATTCATTCGTTGTGGCGAAAAAAGTGAGCGCCAGTGGCGATTGAACGCATTGCTTAAATTCTTGCTGTTAGGAATGTCAGGGAGACCGCACATATCCAGCCCAGAATAATTTATAACGGGTGTAATAAGAAGTCGCGAAATTTAGTCATTTTTAAGCGAAGCCCGCTGCTACGGCAAAAGAGCACGCCCACTGTTCTCGCGAGGTACGCTGGGGAAACAAGACAGATTCATTACAGCAGGGCTGGCAATAGTAGTGGCGAAATTAGGCGAACATTAATCCGGCTCTGGCATTGGAAGCATGGGCGTTTCCTTGGACTCCTAAGAATGTCTGACGACACTGACCTTGCAGTGGACACTTGGAGAACAAGATATGACAGCTGGACAATCGCTGATTTTGTCTTAGTAAGCAGGTCGTACGCTGGTTTCAGAGAAATGCCTGAAAGGAGTCTTCTAGATTAATTATAGTGCTACATGCGCCTCAATAGCCTCGACGCATTTATTTTATGACAAAAAATCAGTAAACGCCATGCCGGCATTTTTATCAGGTTCCATTACACGCCATGGCGGGGGAGGGCGGTCGCCAACATGGAGTTTGTTTCCGACAACCCGCATGCGTCCCTGGTACTCATCACATCACACCCGGTTCCTGTCAGGTATCCCGGCAGCCAGGGGTCGGATCAGTCAGAAAAACCTGTTATGATGTTAAAGGCATCCAAAAATAATGCACACTAATATCGTCCACTCAACGCAAGGTGTCTTTGCGTGCGTGTTCAGTGTGTCAGCTCCTTCACTTAGCACCCGCAAGGACTGGTCGTTGAAAAAATGTTTAAGTTATGCTATTATTTTGAGTATTTTTTCAATTATGGTTGCCATGAGAACCTACCAAGCGTTTTCATGTTCCAGGGTGGTCCAGACAGACGCAGTCATGCCTGAAGGTCCGGAGCTCCATCTATCTTCGCTGTTTATCAAGAGAGTGAGTGATTCAAAATCATTCATCGGCAAAATTGTGGAGCGGCTGCCCGCCAACAGAGAGCCAAGGCTGGTGGATTTCAACAAACGCCTCGGTGACAACGCGTGTTACACTCTGACGTCATGGTCTCGAGGGAAAGAGCTTATGTTGACAGTGAAGCCACTTAAATCGAAATGCCCAAATGCATCCTACAAACCGGAGGAATGGACAATTCGCTTCAATTTTGGAATGACTGGGTGCTTCAAATTCACGAAGACTGCTGACACACCCAAGCATGCCAAAGTGTGGTAAGTTGAAGCAAAACATCAGATTGCCCCATCATGCGCAATGACCCGTCATCAACCTGAATGATCGTAGTTCGGAGATATTTTCAGCATGATTAAAACTGACATTCATGTAGACGTGTGTCACATACTCATGTCATATAAATGGGGCCTGAGAAGTGGAGTAACGTTAGCCAGATGAGTGGAAATTGTCCGAAATAGGTTTTCAAAGCGGAATCCGCGTCCAACATACCTTGGAGATAAAACGAGGTCAAAAGAGTCACCCGAGGTCACTTTGGTCATTGATTCCAGCCGACCACGAGAAGTGCTCAAAACTCCCGGAAGGTAAATGTTTTGTCAAGTTACACTTTGTCTGGTCTCAATTTACATCATGAGTGGCATTTGCAGTCTAACGTTTTCTGGTCACCGACATTGCAGGCCAAATCATTCTTGCAGAGATTCCAAATTGACGGAATGGGTCACTCAGCTGGCACAACCAGAATTTTGTCTCGCGTTTGACCGAAAGTGCCACACGCGGTGCGAACGGGCAACACTTATCCTGACATTCCCCATCGTCTTACCGGGAGCGGTGTGACATCGCCCCGTAAGTAAGATTCACGGGGCAAAGGAGAGTGTGTTGTTTACCGTGGCAGGATTTACCGATATCCAGCTTAAAGCTTCGAGGTTAGCATGTAGTGTCCTGCGGCAGGTATTGTTTCCAAATATCACGAAACATTCTCTGTGGATGACCACTAGGCAATAAGATGTGCAAGACTCATTGAAGCTTTGCGCATCTAATGCAGCCATTGAACATAATTTCGTTTTAATTAACAGGTCAGATTAGATAACAACGCATGACTAGTTTGTGGCGGCGTGAAGTTAACGCCACATCATGGCGTTAAAGTTAACACCACGTCATGTGGTTGTGATAGAAAACTGAATGGGTGAGAATGATATGTAATAGGAGTCAAATTCGAAATCAGTGTCCCAAAATACCATCGAGTTGGCCCATGGCCCGAAGTAGTTAACTGAAGTCAACTTAAATCAGTGACCTCGGGTAACATTAAGGCTTGGACCTCGTGGAATGCTGGCGTAGGGTCCTTCTACACCTATTTGAAAGTTAGATTAAATCTGAGCGTCATGCGCTGTCGTCCGTAAACCGTTTTTTTTTAAGATGTGCAATATAAAGTATTTTAACATGAGATGCAATCACACCTTAGTGTAGCGTTATGTTATCCAAAACGCCCATCGCCCCTGGTTACGTTTCGGTCATGCTCTTCCCCCCCTTTTTATTCATGTGTAACGTAGCTTACGAGGGACGGAATCCTTAAACGCGACCTTAAAAAAGTGCAGTGGGGGTGTTATGTGGGCACGGGTGCACGTTTTATCAAAGGGTTTCCCCGATAGAAACAACGCTGTTTGTTTCGTTTCACCAACGCACAGGTAATAGTATTGTGCTTAGTTCGTCTCAGAAGATGAGTCTGATCACTGATGGCGCCTCGCACCGCCCGAGGGTCGGTATCGGAGCAGAGATCGACTGCGACTGCTGCTTCAGCTTCCGCACGGCCGGCGAGCCGTCCTACACGCTGAGCTTCGTGGACATGCGCGGCTTCGGCCGGTGGGTAGCGAGTCCCGAGTGGTCGAAGGACCGCGGCCCGTGCATCCTGCAGGAGGCCGACCTCTTCCGTGCCAACGTGCTCGACAATCTGGCCGTCTCCGTCTTCAACAAGCCTATATGCGAGGCCATGCTGGATCAGCGCTACTTCAACGGGGTCGGCAACTACCTGCGCGCTGAGGTCCTGCACAGGTGGGCAACGTGAGGTGGCGGCCTGGTAGTAAGGTTGGCAGCAACTGGCTGTAGCACCTTCTGACAGCTCGTTTTTAGTAGTTAGACGCGGCTGATAGAAAGTCCTAGGGACGAAAATTGCGGAACTTAGTAAAACTCCGAGGATTGCACAAGTTATAGGCCAATGTAGGAAAGTGAGATAAGTTGCATGCTAATCCCTTAGTCTTGGCATGGAGCACTGAGCATTGAGCCAGCATGTTTAGAACGAGAGCTGGCTGACATCATTTCTAAAATGCCGTAATTTGTTATAACGCATGAGCTCGTTTGAGCATGAGCACGAGCATTGTTGTTTACATCGATCAAGATAAAGACGTTCCCCGCTCATATCTGGCAGGGTAATGGTGGTAGTGCATCGGGCGAGCTGCGCGTTTGGGAAACTAGAGGGACGTGGTTCGATTCCCTGCGTTACTCCCGCCCCTTTATTGCCCAGGGCGAGGGACAGGCGACGCCATGTAGTCTCAGCAACGCCGTGATGCCAGCAATATCCTGCTCCCTACATGCCTCGGCATCCGCAACATCTCTTATATAACTTTCGAGCTGGGATGACGATACCAGCTCTGGGCGCTTTACAACCAGTTAGTCGTAATCAGTTCTGGAGGTTGTGTGCAACCAGACGTATGCCTAGTTTCCACATTTACGTAATGGACGCAAGATCTTGGATCCTGATTTCAGCTGGTTGTTTGGTAACTATAATCTCCGGGCTCCTTGATTCAATGACCGTGTTGCAAACCCGGTCACTCATTCCTGATTTCCATTGCTTTTTTCACAAACAAATCAAGGATCCTAGTTCCTTCACACAGACTAGGGTCTGGTTCCTGGTTACGATTGGTTTGTCACGACTCGTTGGCTCATTCGCAACCGCCAGCATGGGTTATCTTTTGATTATCACCTGCGATGGAAGGCATGCAGCTGAAATATAAGATAGCCTGCATATGTCCTGTAATATTTACTCGTGCCACGCGCGAAATATAGATACAGGGCGGTGCACACTGGTTCCTGGCAGGAATTTTTGGTGAGATCCTGGTTTTTGCTGTTTCGCTGAGCGTAAAGTGGATCATGGCTCTTATGTCTTTAATATCATTCCAGGCTGGTATTGGGTTCTGCCAGATACACACCGTCGGCCGTATTCCGTGTTGGACCTTGGTTTTTGGCTGGATAATCGTGGGCATAATTGCGACGGGGCCCTTACTTCGTTTGATTTCTTGTGCATATTACAAGTCGGATCTTGGTTCTTGGCAAGATCCCTGGTTTAGTGTCAGGCTGGATCTGGTTCCTGCTGTTTCCTGCAGAACAATTGAAGTGGTCGGTATTGGATCCTGTTCCCGCTGGTTCCCCTCAACAAATTCAGTGTTGGATCCTGGCTTTGCTAGGCCTTCGATTTCATTCCAAACTAGTACTGAGTTTATTCTTGCTTCTAGAACTAGGAACGTATACCGGGAGGAAATCTTAGGAGCCTGGCGCAGTCTGGTCGTAGCTCAAACCAGCTACAGAAGCTCTTGCAAAAAGGCTAGCAGAACATGATTTGAGGTTTTTATACGACTTAATCCCGCCAAAACTAATGGAGTTATTTTGTTGCGTAGCTACCTGTCTGTTCCTGAAATGCAGAATTAAGACAAATGGTGTACAGACAATGCGGTGTTGGCTACCGAGTGGCGAAACGTACGGCGAAGAAGAATGCTCAGGTAGCCAGGTGAAGACCAGGTGTTGAAACATGCAGAGGCATTTACATAATGTATTTTCGGAGGAAGGCCAAGCCTGAATGTACCCCACCCAGTTCACGCCGAAATGAGAAAAACAGGTGTTCGAAGTAAGAAAAGGATAGAAAGTAGCCCGATTGGGCTAAAATGTTAACTATGTGTCGCCATATTTGCTCACACCCAGTCGGATTCCTATGGTCCCGCCGCCTGTGACCCACCTGTCTGTTTGACCAGGCTGTCTGTACGCCCGTTTGAGAGCGCAGCGGGACGTGCTGGCGCCGCTGCCGCTAGAGCTGAAGGTGGGTCAGACGGACGTGCTGCACATGTGCCACCAGCTGGCCACCGAGGTGGTCACCATGGCGGCGGTAAAACGCTACGACGTTGCAGCTGGAGGCGCTGGAACCGCAGCCGGCCGTCAAGAAGGAAGAAGGGGATGAGGTTTGACGCATTCGAGGTGAGAGGGTGCAGAGTTCTGGGGGCCTTGCTTCCTTGGGAAGCATTGGTTGGCGTTCGGAATGGTGGAGAGATGCTTTGAGGCGAGCTTGACACCAAGAATTGCTACGGGGCGCGCCAGCACACCCACGAACACACGTCGCTTTTTTCTGTAAAAAAAAGAAACTCGATGCGCGCCGCCGCTCCCTCCCCCCCCCCCCCCCTTCTGGAGCACAAGCGACTAAAGCGTCCATATTGGCGCTGAAGGCACATGGCATCATTGAGGTTCGAACCCGCTCGGAAATGGCACGCTTACACCAACAAACCTGACGTCTGGGAGATTTTCGAAGCGCGCTAATTTTGTTTCAGGCCTGCTGCAGTGCTACTACCAGCCCGCATGAAGAATCTGGTGGATAATAACGGCAGGACGATATGGTTCGCAGGCAGCCCTGGGCCACGAGCGCCTAAAGGTACTGCCTTGCATCCGTTTTTTTCGTTATTATTTATTGCGTGTGCCCTCTAACCGGTGGGTATTCATGAAATATGTCAATATAGACACAGTATCACAAGGGACCCAACTTCTAGTTGCAAGCACACCTGGGCTAAAGTTGTTGCGCGCATCACGCCGGCTCGACTCCGGGCGCCAGCCGCTGTTGCGCCCGCCCCTAAAGGCTGACAGCGGTGCGAACCCGGCCTCGTCAGGGCGCTCGCTTCCTCTGAGCAGCGGCACGGCAGGGGACCAGCTGCCGTGCGCACATCACTGGATACCCAGGAAAACTGCAGGAGGCTTACCATAGTGGCCCTTGTTGCTATAGCGAAACCATGGGCGCTGTGTGCAACGTCTTCATTGGATTGCTTGCTGTCTATAGTGCCGCGTGACAGGCTGTTTGGCACACTTCACTGCGTGCGCGAAGTGTTTAAAGCCTTTTTGCTTATGATAAGTTTGGATTTGTTGCGTGAATAATCGTCTGAATTGTCTGCCAATTTTGTCAGATGGTAAAGCTCGCCATTCGCCGAAGAAAAAGGGCTTCGTCCAAGGTTCCGAAGTCCAAGAGCGAGGGGAGGAAAAACAATGAGGATGCCCTCGTGCAAAGAGGTGCCAAAGCAGCAGCGGGCAAAGGACGAAGGCGGCTAGCAACTCGCGTAAAAGGACTTCGTCAATGGTGCCGAAGTCCGAGGAGCCTGAGTATTCGGATCGAGCCAAGAACCTCGTGAACAAACGTGCCAAGGTCTCATCGCGCGAAAATACTAAGACCCCGCATAAAATAAGCGACCCTGAGAAGAGCACGCGTGCGGCTAGGCGGACTAAGAAGTCGGCCTCGTGCGAGGAGACGCCAGCGGTTCTTTGCAGTGGCACGGCTCTCGGTCACGCCCAGTCCGAGGAGGACGACAGGCGGACGAGGCGGGCCGGCACCAGTGGGAGACGGTCGCTGAGGCTGGCTGGCAGGGCCGGTGGCTGTTGACGACGCACTGCGAATGCAGGAGGTGGTCTGTGTCCCCCCCCACCCCCCCACGCAACCGTGTACTGTCTGCGCTGATCAGGGACGAGTGAAAGGATTTATTTCCGATGCGTTGGCTCCTTTTGCACTTTGAATGAATCGTTGACTTACGTAATACTCAGGTCTCATCGTTATCAATGTCTCGCTCATTATCAGTACAAAAACTTTCCGAAACTGTCCAACCCCCATTTGGAGACTCGTGCGTCAGTGAGCGACCGTGCCTTCGTGTCCACGTTTTCCAGATGCGCAAGGCGTTGTTGTACGGCGGTGTTGTTCATCGGTGTCTGGTTGTTTCCAGACACTCGGGGGCGGTGTTGAGTCCCGAACTAGGGTGCTGGGAGCTGAGGCTGCTGTAGATGTGCATGGATGCTTCTTTTTTAATAAAGTGAAAAGCATGCGGAGTCTTTGGCAGAAGTTATGTGGTATTGGAAGATGTCCTGGCTGGCCGATGCTCATCCCAGTGACAGCGGCTGTAATGCGGATGGATTGCCAGCGTATTGCGGATAGCCGACGAAGCGTTGGCAACGCGCCATCGACCTGCCAGAGACGGCAGTAGGGACATCACGAAGCGCGTAATTTCTCGAAGTGCACTGCAGAACCGTTGTGGCCTTCCTCGGCACATGAAGCGGCGGAACGTACCCAAGGATACTCGGTAGTACTACAAGAATGCAAGGAAAATTCTGCTTTAAACAGCACAGTTTTTCTGTTCAGTAAATATGATTCCCAATACGGCAGTGTTTGGTACGGCATCATATCTTGCACGGCGCTGATTCAGAGCCAACTAACTGACTGCCGTTGTGTCTGGAAATGTGCTTACGAAGGTCAGATATGAACGACTCGACGACTACATTTTTTTATTTGGCCTTGATGACCGCATGGCTAGTGACACGGCATGATTTAAATGACGTTATTATGACGTCATGGATGCCGAGGTGACCTTGAAACGGTCTCCCTGACAAAGTCTGCACATCGTCGCGGGCGCGCGGCTCAGAAACTAGAGGAGCTTTGGTCTTAAGAAGGGCAGCGCCACGAACTGTGCCGAATGTCTAGAATCTTCAAGATGCATCTTCAGGATGGCTATCTTAGCTCAAAACCTCATACCAATGTGGGATACTCCCTTGAACTCTCCGATGATGATGATGATTTGGGGTTTTAGGGCACATCGACTGCTGTAGGTCATGCAGCGCCCAACCCTTGACCTATCCATACCAATTTTGTTTCGCTATTGGTAGAGCACAAGGTGATAATTGCTCACTGGGTACAGGTTTGGTCAATGCGGAAGCAAGCACATTCGTCTTCCAGCATGATAAAGCTGGCATATAGCCTCGACAAGAACGGAGAGACGATTTTAGAGTAAGTCCCGGAACAGGTCGCATTATTAAAAACTAGCTAAGCTGCAAACCAACGGTGCTTAATACTCTTAAGACACATAATACTTATTTAAAAATAGCCCTACCCAGGCATAACAGCCCAATAGTGGCGGGATACCCTCGACACTTGCGAAAGCCGAGGCACTCGCACAATGGATTTGTTAGTTTCCGGTCGCCGCCGCACGCAATGCGCGAAAATGCGAGACAAACGCCACCACAAGGTTTTGATCGAGCCGCGCACACCATCACCCACACACCGGTCAGCATCAATACACCGATCGCGGCCGGCAGACTAAGATGGCAGCAACGAGATGGCGGAAGACCGCTGCACTGCCAGCCGATCGTTAACGCGAAGGTCCCACCTGTGGGGCATATTTCAAAAGCAGTCTTTTTTTAAAAAAATCTCAAGGCCAGTTATGTCTGATAATAGCGCTGGACAGTGTCATTGCAGCTGCAGTTGTCACAACCACCAAGGTCAGTTACGTCATGACACCCGCCGTGGCACCTCTTGTGGTGCGAATAAAAAACTGTTTGTGATTGGCCCAGCGAGTGCCAAGGGCCTTTTGTCGAGAACACATTGGTTGAAGTTTGAACCAGTACGTCACTATGGACCATGTGATAATAACATTTCCAAAGTCAATGTGAGCCTCGAAAAGCCACTGCGGATAACGCCGTAGGAGAGAAATCAAAAGTCATAGTGGGACGTTTCGTTGTGTTCGGGAATATAGCTCAATAGCTTCAATTTAGGAATATAGCTACTAGCGGGATAATAGCTTCATGTTTGCTTATGTTTTTGGCTAAACAGTGTTTCAAGCTTTCATCTTATTCATACAAAAACGTTTTGGCAAATACGTGTGCTGCAAACATTACAACAAAACACACGATCGAAGTGGGCAACTTAAATGAATTGCTCTCGCAGTGGTGAGCAGTGACCCCAATTTGAACGTCCGCGCAGAAGTGGCTACTTCAAATCAAAATCCCGAACTAGTCAGCAGGATTTCGTGAAAACTGGTATGGCTGATCAATTTGCAAGCGTTTGATCCAACAATTCGTGAAAAGTACCGAAAACATGCGACATACTTCCTGTAAAGGAAATGTCCCACACTAGAATATATTGAACCAAGCATCATACATGATGAAATAAGCTAACTTGTGATTATTAGTATACTTTTAGCTTAAAAGACTCAAGTCTTTATGACGTCAGAGTCCCGGCCGGCCTGACTGTGTCAGAATTACCACTGTGTCGGACGGGCTGATCCACTTGTAATGCTTCGTGTTTGCTGGAGAGTGTTTGGTGAACCCGAATACCGCTGGGTTTGCTGGACTCGGCGTTATCCTTTCAGTCTTATTTTCCTCATGACTCGTACCTCTGCCCAAGTTCTTTATTATGCAGCACAAAACGTGACTCGTATCCGAAACTTGCAGTCAATGAATGCTATTGGTTGAGAATCTACAGATGTCCGTTGATGGCAGAAATTGCGCTGACGTAAGCCAAATCTGAATAATTCGATGATCACGTTTTCGTTGACTTTGAGCACTACATGGCCAATGAGGTGGCAGTATTCGAGGGACGTCTCTAAGAGGATATGTATCTGGATGGCCTTGAAATGGCCTACACGAAATTGCCCGCAGAAGTGCAGGGGCGTTAAGCCCGAAGACCAGAGGGTTTTAAGTCTTAAAAGGGCATGGCCGTCAATTGTGCTGAATGATCTTAAAAATGAATATCTGAGTTCAAAATGTCATACGTTACGGGTCGTTAACTCAACGCAATATTTCAACGGATAATTTCCAAAACCAGGAGCTAAAGACCTTTCTTCTTACATCAATTTCATGTCTTTTCCACTCCTCGATAGACTCGTGAGCATCAGCAGTAGGCCAAATCGCCTCACCAGTAACAGTGCTCAGGAAGTCCAGCAGCCGTTCCTGCCATCGATGCAGATCGGCAGGCTTCGTCCTCCGCAGGACATTGGTCCCCCGCACGAGATACTGAGACACTGTCAACAGTTCCGTTGTCCTTGGTGCTCCCCCCCTCCCCCCCCCCCCCCCTATAACCACCACGACGGAGTAGGCTCGAAGTGGGGACTGACGGTCAACGTAGTAGGATGCAACATATGCTTTGAGACTTTTCTACAGCAGAACCCCTTTGCTCCTGCTGCAAGCCTATCTATCTAAGCACCCTGGACACAGCATCTGACTAGAATGACGTGCGAAGGCCCGGTCGTCGTTTTTTAACTGCATTTGAGCGTCTACACAGTTGTCATCTTCACTACCATGAATTTTGCGTCATAGCTGCATTGGCCTAAGATTGCAAACAACTTAACGTTAGGTTTGGCTGTGGCGGTGCACAGACGGAGCAGTCTAAAAACGGGATTTGTACCCAAGATATGTGTTGGAAGGCCTCAGTTCCAAGTGCCTGCGTGTATTGAAAAAGATCCAGGCATTCCCACCGCCGGCATTATGCGGACTCAGATTGTACCTGCCTTTCCGGTCCATCCGGCCAGGAAAATTCCCAGTGCGTTTCTTGACATTGAATACAGCCGCTGTCGCCTGCTTATTGGTTGCAAACTCGGACGTTTTCCTCCGATCGAGCGGACCGTGTGTTTATACATGTCACCGGTATGAAGTGACCCGTATCTTGATTGCAAGGCCGAAACGGTTTGTGACGGGGTGATAATCATGCGAAAAGTGAATAACAGCCGTCCTTATTGGATGCAAAGCATGGTGGAGGTGGAATATGTGATCAACCATAGCTGTTTTAATCCCGGAACGGCTAGGAGGCGCACTACCAAACATCTTGAGACCCACGATATGAAAAAGAACGGCCTAGAACGACATGATAACTATTGTTTTAAAAACTCGTATTGTGGTGCTCTTCAATATGTAAATGCCCATGGGCATCCTCTTAGTGACATTTGTTTTTAGTCTGACTTTGTCGTCAGCCATGTACTATTTGTGAGGCCACATCAGTTGGGTGTCTTGCCAAATTGACCAAACGGCTCACTTGCTGGAAGCTGGGATGTGTTAGACGGTCATCTTCTAAATATTATCTATTTTGATGTCCGTGATGTCGATAATGTCTTTGTTTAAGTCGGCGGGTCAGGTTATTAAAGGTCAAGCCAGGTAAAAATGTCCGACCGTTCTTACATGAGGAGCTTATGACACCCACATTCGCAAACATGTTTTGTCATGATCGACCGCATCAACATCATTTTCAGATCATGGGACCAAAGTAGTGAAGTTCATCGTGGGACGAACCGTAGTGGAGTTCTTGGGTCATGATCAAGCTGCGCCGGAGAAATAAAGAACGTATGCATACCGCAGGCATAACTTGCATTGCAATTAGTACACAGTTTTCACTTGATCGGCTTTCATTCGTATTTGGCATAAAGTTACTCCAGTCAGAGGTTTCAATAAAGGCGCATCAATGACTGAAAACATCAAGTGTGCAGCCAAGTAATCAGGCAAGTGATCAGTACACACATCAATGATATGCAGATCCATCAATATGCAGCTAAGCAGATAGCTTTAATCAACAAGGAGAGGCAATGCATCCTTGTTTTACAAGACTATGTTTTACTCCGTTCGCGTGTTCCTGACTTAACCCCCGCCGATTTGCATGATGCGGACTGGCTGGAAGGGGGGGGGGGGCGATGTGGACCTCCGGCGTTTCTAAACTAACAGAGAGGTCTCAAAGAAATCTTGCGATTGGTACCAGTTTGATATGCTAGTTTTATATCCCACTATGCCAGGTCAAAGAACCGATTTTCGCGAAAACCGCGCTTTTCAGCTTCACATCGTGTGCCATTGATGTGTGTCATTGATGCCCTACGGCGCACTCGGCTGCTGAGGCTATATTGCGTCGCCTGTCTCTCACCCTGGCAGGAAGGGCGGGCACCGCGGGGACTCGAACCCCGTACCCCTGGTTTCCCAGACGCGCAGTGGTTGACGCAGACGCGTTAACCACTACACTACTGGCACCCCTTACATCATATATGCGAAACCATGCCTCCTGCTGACACAAATCTTAACAGGCTTCTTCCCTGAAAACCTGACAAGTACTTGGGTTGGGGCCAACTCCAACTCCTGCACATCTCCCGCAATCAACGGAACCCAGCGCATCCAGCATGCTGCGCAACTTACCCCGTCCAGACGGCACCGCTGCTGAGCCGAGGAAAAGCGAAGGAGACGCCGGAATGGTGGCGCCCTCGCCGGACAGGCTGGGCTGCAACGAACTGAACCGGCTAGCCACGGATTTTATATCTGGCAGTGTATGTGGGACGGCTGCGGTCAGCCGACCGTGAGGTGGATTCACCGAGCACGAAGCTGGGGGGGGGGGGGGGGGTAAGGTAGGCACATGATGCAAGCAGTTGACGGCGACTCCCGGACCAGGGGAAGGAGAACACTCCGAAGGGGCTGAGAAACCGGTAACGCTCAAGTCGTTCACAAAATACAGCATCAGGAGGCAGTGTTTTCATTGGGCCGAGCGACCGGCGGGTAATGAATGCTGTGATTTTACCATCTGGCGTGCAAAACTTTGGCTAGACTCATCCGTGTATTCGTTCCCGGGGCTCCACAGATGTTGGTTTTGCTTTAAGCGTGAGACACTAAACGAGGCTTCCTCGACGATCGATACCGTTCAAATGGGAACTGAATTGGGCTCGGAAGTATGAATTAGAGTGTGGTTGCAAGAACGCAGCAATCAAAGACACGGAGGGTCGCAGAGGTGCTCGCGTTAAAGATGCCGCGTGTCGTTTGTTGGTATTTCATGACGCAAGACAATTTACGTTGGTTATGGACGACAAGACGTCTGTTGACAGTTAAAGCGCTAACGCAAAAGGAATGTTTGAATACATTAGTGAACGCAGGCAAGCAGCTGATGTCAGCAATCGAGGTCCTTTTCAATTGCACCGGCAACCCAACGGCAACGGCAGCGGCAAAAGCGTACTTCCCAGGGAGCAAAGCTTCTAAAAGGCGTCTCAATTATTCTAGAAACGGCATATGTAGGGAGTCGTTTGTCATTACCATTCCAACCTGAAGTAAACTACTTATAGAATTGCCTTTCCAAAATCACGCCAAAATAAAGGAGTGTTCCACACTTGTACGGTGTTTTGAACTGAAATAGTCATCTTGAAGATCATGCGGTGCATTTGGCATTCTTGTCCTTCTTATGTCCTAAACTCGTCTACTTTCTGAGATACACGCCCGCGAAGATAAGCAGAATTTTTCCGGGGGACTATTTCCAGGTTACCCCAAGCACCCATGACGTCAAAATAACGCCGGCCGAATTCCATTACATAGCCATGCGGGAATCAAGGCCACGAAGCGCATTTGCCGAGTTGTTCATATATGGTGTTCGCGAGCACGATTTCCACACATGACCGCCGTCAGCTGGCTCTCAATCAATGATGTGCAAGGTACGATGGCGTAATTAAACAATGGCGTATTGAGAAGCGCATTTTCCTAAAGACCAAAATGATGTTGTCTAAAGCAGTCATTTCCAGTTAAAAAGCGTACAACTGGGTAAAAGAGAGCTTGTTTCATCATATCTGACGCTAGATTTGATATCTCCAAATGCGAAACATTCCCGTTAAAGGAAGTGTCCTACTTTGGAAGATATCGAAGTTAACATTGGGTATGACGAATTATATCACTTATAACTTTTGCATACTTTTAGGAGGAAAAGGCTGTTCTAGAAAGCAGTTTCGCCTGAAATAAATATGCTCTGCACTGGCATTATTTGATTGCGTCATGGAACGTTTGTATGGCGTTGACGTGCTGCCAAACCAGCCACCGTTGCACTCACTTGAAGCACTTCAAGCCCATCGAGAGATGGCAGCACAGTGCTGAAAGTGTTCGCTGGGCCCAAATATTGTTATGTTTTCATGCTTTGACCATTTCTCATGGCTCCTTGCGTATTCATGCGAGTTAAGGATTTTTGTGTGCAGTTGCATGCTCTGCCGTGGCGCTTTTCCTAAGTTATCTGATGACAAGTCTTATTATATTGTATCACATATAACACAATAACTAGGCAAAAATGGATTTGAACGGCGTTGCTACGGCGTCATGCATGCCTGAATGGCTTCAGAAAATAGGCTGCACATCTTCCCGAGCAGGTATCTCAGAAACTAGACGGCTCTACGTCTTAAGAATGGCAGGGCTGTGTTTTAAAAGTAAAAATACACCCTCATCTTTTGACATCGTATGTCTGATCAAAACAAATGCAAGTTGTATAGCTCTGACGGTCGATTGGCCACATGAAGGGAATGCAAGGTGAACAAACGCGACCCCATTTACAGTGTTCCAATTTCAGGGTACCATTGGCAGGTCAAATGGACAACCACCTTATTGTCACAGTATGCCTTTATGCTCCTTAAAGAGGTGACAACTCTCCCTAAAAAGACATTGCAAGGAAGCGATTTGGCCGCCCCTGCACTGGGGGTTTTGGGGCGTATTTTTGGTAGTCAAAAGGCTTTGATTACATCTTGATAGGTGTTTACACCGCTCCCCAAAGTGACTCCGTAGAGATGGGACATTTGGGCGACTCATTTGGGCGACAGCGGGTTTTGGGGACAGTTGAGAGACAGCGGGTTTGGGGGGGGGGGGGCGTATTGCTTTTCTCAGTGAAGTTGCAAGTCATGCGCCATTGGATAAATATTTGACCGCACTAGGCCACGTAAAATGCCATTTTTCAGAAAAGCGGACTATTTCATCTTCACATGCCAATATTCACGAAGCTTTGCAGCATATCACAGTAAAACACGTATACAGGTGTCAGTTGTTTCCTTCTAGGTACTTTAGGATATATTTTTGTGTGCTTTAAGCAGATTTCAGTGATGAAAGGCGAGAAAGGAAATGTGAGTGTCGTATCCACCGCTCGTGATTGGCCCACAGTGGGTTTCCGACCACCACCCAGCCAGCAGAAGACTTGCTGTGCAACTCCTATAAAAGGAACGTTTTTTTCACAGAAACCACAAATGTCTGTTTTTGGTGTCAACATATGTGTAATGAGTGTCTCCAATTCTATCAGACATTTGTGCGCAAATACAATATCCTTCAAGCAGGCGATTTATTCAGCGATTTATTCAGCGACGAGTTCTGACTTCGCTATATAAATGGTTACGTGAGATGATTAATTATGGCACGAGAGACTATAAAATACCATCTATTACAATATCATGTGACCTTTCAGGTCAAAAGCGGAGTGAAAGGACCCCTAACTTCATATCAACAAACCCTTCTGGCCGATTTTAGCTTTTCAAGCATCGGAATACTCATAAGCGCAGGCAATAGACGCCGTAGGCCAGCATCGACGTGGCGGCGGAGGTTGAACGCACCGCAACGCTCGACACGGTTCTTCCTGCCCTCTGACGTCACCTGACCTTTAGTGCGGCCGATGCCATCAGTCGCAGGTCATACATATCTAGGGCAAACAGCGAGCGTCTTAACCGACTCAAACCCACCCCCACGGGTGGGAAGATCGGAAGATAGGCGCTCAAACCAACTGAGTCATCGGGACGGACAAATGTCGAAAAGCGCGTCGCCAATTAGGTGCTTCTGCAGGGAAGAAGACCATACAGCACCATGACTGGTCCGAACGCATCCCATACATGGGGCAAACCACCATGACACCAGCAACATCTACACAGTTATCAAAAATATACCATTCCCGACTCCGGTCGCTAACGCATGTGGTAGCCACCCCTCCACCAGCCTTATCTATCGGTCAGTCAGCACCCAGCCGTCCTCACTCGGCCCAAATCACAGGCACATGTCCAGCCGTCCTCGGCCGACGGCACCCTGGGCCGTCAGGTCCGCCCGGCCGCTTCACTGCTTGTGCTCGGCCAGCGCGCGCTCCACCTCGGCCATGCCGGCCAGCACCTGCTCCTCCATCCAGGGCAGGCCGACCACCTGCACGCCCAGTGGCTGACCTAGTGCGCCACGCGTCGCCTGAGAACGGCGACACCGTGGTTAGGTGCCAGATACGGTCGTGGTTAGTTGTCGGACACAGTCGCGGTCAGGTGTTGGACTGGGCACGGACACGGTCGTAAGCAGCTGCCAGACACGGTCGCGGTCAGCTGCCGGACACGGCCGTAAGCAGCTGCCGGACACGGTCGTAGGTAGCTACCGGACACGGTCGTGGTCGGCTGCCGGACACAGTCGCGGTCAGGTGTCAGATTGGGCCCGGACACGGCCGTAAGCAGCTGCGGACACGGTCGTGGTCGGCTGCCGGACACGGTCGTGGTCAGCCACCGGACACAGTCGTGGTCAGCTGCCGGACACGGTCGCGGTCAGGTGTCGGACCGGGCCCGGACAAGGTACCGGCCAGCCGAAGACACGCCCGGTGCGGCCTGGATCCACACGGCGGAGACGGTGAGGTGCCCACACAGGGTACGCGTTCAGTAGACACAAAGGCTGCAGTGCTGTTCGACGAGTTACATAACTCGTCAGTGCTGCGTGATCCAACGTCCCGGCTGCTTGTGTTGATGGCCTTTTATAGGGCTCAGCCACATCCCCTGCCTTCATCACATAGCTTAAATCACAGTCTTATTTCACACGGCCGCGCTCGCCGACGCGCTGCGGCAGGGCAAAAATAGCAGCAGAGTTGTAGATGCACTTATACACCAGTACAATACTGTGCTCAGCAAATGGACAACGTCGTGACTGATCATCCAAAAGACACAATAGCGGCTTTCACAGGTGCGTGTTCAGGACTGGACAGAACGTAATTGCAATAATAGAATTACAAAGTACAGAAGTCAAAGGCATCGTAACACATGCATGCATATATATATATATATATATATATATATATATATATATATATATATATATATATATATATATACATATATATATATATATATATATATATACATATATATATATACATATATATATATATATTATATATATATATACATATATATATATATATATATATATATATATATATATATCAAGATATACACTGACAGGGTGGTCGCCGCCAGGACCCCATTCGTACCATTCACACCGGGGAGAAGCTGATGAGTCCGCGATCCCTCACCTCGACCACCCAGCGCAGCTCCACGTGAGGGGTGGGGTACTCCTCCAGGGCGGTCTGGTCTTCAGCCGTCTCGTGACCCACGTTTACCACGCCCGCCGGGAAGTTCAGCACGTTGAAAATGGAAGTGTAGACACCGCCCACTGCCGGCCACATGGCGGTGATGTGTCAGTACGTTGGCAGCCGGCGCCAAGGTCCATCACTTACTGAAAACGCAGAAGGCCGACATGCCGACATGACGACAAGCCAGATGCGGGATACAGGCACATCGGCCCAGCAATCAAAACTCCAGGTACAACTCAGATCTTTGCAACGTCTTAAAGCAACTTGCTTCTCATAAGGCCACGTTATCTTCATAAAACCTAATTCCTGAGGGTGTTCCACTCACCCTGCCGGTGCCACGTCCAGCCCCCCCCCCCCCCTCCCCCACACCCATCCCATCCCATCCCATCCCATCCCATTCCATCCCATCCCATTCCATCCCATCCCATCCCATCCCATCCCATCCCATCCCATCCCATCCCATCCCATCCCATATCTCATCTCATCTCATCTCATCTCATCTCATCTCATCTCCTCATCTCATCTCATCTCATCTCATCTCATCTCATCTCACTCCACCCCACCCCACCTCCCGCACGCGCTCAGCCGCTGGCGCTCAGTCAACTGGCCCGGCCACTGGCCCGCAGCGTCACCCACCGACCAGATTGCTGATCATGTCATGCGGCGGCGCCGGACACATGAAGCCGGGCAGCACGAGCAGGTCGAGGCGGGCGGCGCGCCACTGCTTCAGAGTACGGTCGACCAGCTGATTCCAGGCGAGCTTCAGTTGCACCGCCTCCACCGTGGTGCCCGTCCAGGCTGTCGGGCCAGGGCAGAGGAGGCTGAACTGGACCGACTCCGACTCAGTGGCATGCACGAGGTCACTGTGAGCTGGTCAGCACTTGTTCGCTCCGGGCATGGTGCGTCTCACGGTAATTCTGCTCATTCGGCTTGACGTAGGCAATGTTCTAGCGAAAGGCTGGAGGCAGAGACGTATCGTTAGGGCGTTTTCTGAATGGCAGGGCGAGGTACGACGTGCAACGCTAGCGGCAATCCGAATCTGATCGCTTGTGACTTGGCGGTCCTCTTGAGGTTTTACAACATGACCACAGCGAGCTAACAAATATAAAAAACGACACGCTAGTGTCAGTAAGACTTTTATCAAGGACAGGTCAGAGAGGGTCACGGGTGCAATTAGTTTGGTCGACTCTGGATAAGTGTCTCGTGTCAGTGCGTGTCAATAACTGTCTTCGCAATGTCTCAACGCTGACAGGCGGTTGCGAACCTGACTCAGTCCGGTAACCTTCCGCCACGCCAAAACTCTAACATCTTATATATAAACTATATATATATATATATATATATATATATATATATATAAACAAAACTCTGTCATTCGCACAAGCTGACTCCGAAATCCGGACAAGAGTGAAGCGATGCACGGCGCTACTCGAGGCAAACGCCGTCCGTCGGTCCCCCACCCCTCCCTCCGATCGCTGCGGTTACCCTGGTCCTGGTCATTCCCCCGCGCTCTCACGGGCCCGGACACAGCAGCAGAGCGTGGGGCAGCTGATAAAAACCACGCTTTCTTTCGTAGAAGGATTCAGAATGCAACCCAGTCTTTACGTCCGCCGTTGTTCAAGCATGCGCGCGCACGCACACACGTACGCACGCACACCACACGCACGCACGCAAACGCAGGCCACGCTAGCGCACACACGCATACACACGCACACACGCACATGCTCCTTCACCCAAATTTCAGAAGTGATTGTGGCAGTAGCTTGAAATAACCCGAGCAACCAGCACAATTATGTGGGGCACATTGGTTGACTATGCCCCTGGTTGTCCAATCATTTGTTGATTTTTCCGTCACTCTCAGCAGCAGGCTACCCGACGGACGTAACCTTCCATCACTAAAATTGTACGCTCTAATAACATAGCGTCCGAAAACTCCAATCCATCCTGCCGTCCACGTGATGTCTGAGACCAACCTTTCAGTCGCGTCCCAAGGTAGCGGAAGTTGTTGCTGGTGCCCCAGGCGATGAGGACGCGCAGCCAGCGCGGGACGCGCAGCATGGCCACGAGCGTCTCGATGCTCTTGTCCACCTCCTCATCAGCGCTGCGGGGCGACGGCGGTTGGTGAGGGACGCCCGAAGCAAGGCCGTCCACCACTGACCACCACCGCCGGCGGTTGGCCCGCGCAGCCACTGGAGGGAGGGAGGGAGGGAGGTAGGGAGGGAGGGAGAGGGAGAGGGAGAGGGAGAGGGAGGGGAGAGGGAGAGGGAGAGGGAGAGAGAGGGAGAGGGAGATGAAGAGGGAGAGGGAGAGGGAGAGGGAGAGGGAGAGGAGAGGGAGAGGGAGAGGGAGGGGAGAGGGAGAGGGAGGGGAGGGGAGAGGGAGAGGGAGAGGGAGAGGGAGAGGGAGAGGGAGAGGGAGAGGGAGAGGGGAGAGGGAGGGGGAGAGGGAGAGGGAGGGAGAGCGAGATGGGGAGGGAGAGGGAGAGGGAGAGGGAGACGGAGGGGGGAGACGGAGACGGAGACGGAGAGGGAGAGGGAGAGGGAGAGGAGAGGGAGAGGGAGAGGGAGAGGGAGAGGGAGAGGGAGAGGGAGAGAGAGAGGGAGACGGGAGGGGAGGGAGAGGGAGGGAGATGGATGGAGAGGGAGAGGGGGAGGAGGAGGGAGAGGGGGAGGAAGAAAGAGAGGGAGATGGAGACGGAGACGGAGACGGAGAGGGAGACGGAGAGGGAGACAGGGAGAGGGATAGGGTAGAAGTGCTGCGATGCAGGATCCCTTTTTCATCCCCGTCACCAAAAGGTGACATGATTGTCAAAAATTGCGACGGTTCGCATGAGCTTCTACTCAGTATTCATCCATAAGGTGCCATCCTCACCTACGCCCAGTAACGCAGGAGGCCAAATCCACAGTACCATTGTCCACACCCCAATCGTCGAGAAACCCCCCATTGTCGCATCCCCCCCCAAAAAACAAAAGTATTCCGCTCGTCCGGTGCTCCCATTCGCTGTGTCCACACAACGCCTCCCCCCCCCCCCCCCCCTCCCCCCTCCACGCCTCCCTTCACAGGCGGCCGTCCAGTCCGAGCGACTGTACACGCACAAGAGCCTCCTACTTGACAGCCTGCCTCAGCCAGCTTACAGGCGGCTAGGTAGCAACCACCAAAGTGTGAGATGGGTCCCCTTGGTGGTGCTCCCGCTCAGGATGCCCCCCCCCCCCCTTCCCCCCCCCCCCCCCGCCCCTCCCGTGCATCCCTCCCTTCCACTCACACAGCGCGCGTCATGTAGACCCCCGTTATCCGGTATCACCGTCCGCATGATATATCCATGGCGGCGTGGTCCGCCTCCAGGTGGAAGGGTGCCGTCTCGTGGCCGGCCGCCTCCAGCGCCTGCACGGTCTCTGTCAGCACGCGCCGGCAGCCGGGCGTGCTCGGGAACGTGGGCAGGTCCGCCACGTAGCCGACCCGCCAGCGGCGCCGGCCGCCGGCCATCTGCGCGGAGCGACACCGACTGTCAGCCGTCGCCAGCGCCGACCAGCCATAGTGGCTGCCAACACCGGCAGGGCTCCACCGACCAGCCATAGTGGCTGCCAACACCGGCAGGGCCCCGCCGACCAGCCATGGTGGCTGCCAACACCGGCAGGGCCTCGCCGACCAGCCATAGTGGCTGCCAACACCGGCAGGGCCTCGCCGACCAGCCATAGTGGCTGCCAACACCGGCAGGGCCCCGCCGACCAGCCATAGTGGCTGCCAACACCGACAGGGCTCCATCGACCAGCCATAGTGGCTGCCAACACCGGCAGGGCCCCGCCGACCAGCTATGGTGGCTGCTAACGCCTGGCCATTTGCGCGCTTCGGGAAGCGCCAAGTGTGTGATCCGAAGAATGGGTCAGCTGGCCAGACAGGGAAGCAACGTCTGTATCAACGATGTCTCCAGCACACGCACAACAAAAGGGGCCCTCGATTCGAACCAACCAATATCTCACAATGTTACCACACCAAATCAACACCACTGGGTGTAAGCTTGACAGAGCAAATACCCCGTTCGATAGCCTGTGCTGGACCCGCAAACCCGTTAAAATCCAGCCAACGCCACTGACAGTCCCAGCCATGAAAGCCCTGCCAACGTCCACAGACAGTCCCGCCATTGGAACCCACCCAACGCCACAGACAGTCCCAGCCATTGGAACCCATCCAACGCCACCGAAGTCCCCGCCATTGGAAACCCAGCCACCGCCACCAACAGTTCCAGCCATTGGAACCATACTGACGCCACCGGCAGTCCCGCCATTGGAGCTGAGCCACCGTCACCGACAGCCGATGGCCGTCTGCCCCACCTGGCTGTTCCAGTAGACTCGCGGCACCAGTGGGTCCAGCCGGTACATGTCCGCCGCCTCGAGTGGCGAGGTCAGGAGCTCCATCACCTTCTGCAGGCCGGCTATCTCACGGCTGAGGAAGCCGACTGTGGCGCGTACTGTGGACACGTGACGCACCGTTAGGCGTCTGAGAAAGCCGACTGTGGCGCGTGCTGTGGGCACGTGACGCACCGTCAGGCGTCTGAGAAACCCGACTGTGGCGCATACCGTGGGCACGTGACGTGCCGTAAGGCATCTGAGCAAGCCGACTGTGGCGCGTACCGTGGGCACGTAACGTGCCGTCAGGCGTCTGAGAAAGCCGACTGTGGCGCGTACAGTGGGCACGTGACGTGGCGTGAGGCGTGTCGGCCCAACTGCAGCCAACACTACACACCTTTTATAGTGAGTGCAGAGGCGCGTGCGTCGAAGTAGTATGGGATGGTATTTTGGTTTCATGGGCGCGTCGGTTGGAGCGGCTATTCTGCGCCCATGACTTGGGCAGACGGTCTTCATTTCAGCGAGGCGTGCGTACCGTGCGTTAAGCGGTCTAAGTCGCGGAGCCTAAGTTAGGCGTACCAAAGTTAGAGTCAGACACAGTCACAGGGCATTAAGAGGTGATTAGATTGCATCAAAAGTTGCATGCATGATTAAATATAAAACGATCTTAATGTAAGCGACCGGTTCTTCCCAATGAAGGCGAGCAGAGACAGTCTCCACCGTGCGTGGGGGCCGAAATAACACTGGCGCTCAGCTTCTAGGTAAGGCCACTGCACGAGCACTTGGCCAACTGACAGTGAGTTACCGCATCTGGGACACGATGACGCTTGACCTCCGGACGGAAGAAAACCGTGCGCTGCGTAGGTGTGGCCGATACGGAGGCAACAGAGACTGACCTCCTCCTTCCTGCTTTTGTGGTGTGCGGAGGTCCAGTTAACCACTCTGTGCTGTACTGCCCTAAGCCTATTTCTCGCATCGCCATGGCTGTCTGTGCTCCCCTGGTCCCCAGATTGTTGCCCTTTTTCTTTCAGAAGGGCGGAAAGTAACTGTCAAAAGCAGCTGTTTAATATCAGAGTGTGGTGCGCGAGCAGAACTAGGTCGTGGGCCAGCTGCGGCCTCCTTGGCAGAAGTATCGGCCTTCTCACCACCAACCAGTCCTGGTACCCTAACAAAGACCACGCGCTTTTCGACCGAGTTAAGAACTATCACCTGTCGTCAGATCTTACTCAGTAGGGCTCGCTCAGCTTTCAGGTGCTTGATGGATGAAACAGTTGCCTCAACGGTCTGATGCGGTCAAACATAGCCCCCCCCCCCCCCCCCCCCCACCCACACTCGGTGTTCCTCCGCCCCAAACCAACGCTTCTCTAACTGCATAAAGTTCGGAAGTATAAACTGGGCGAGGCTGGGGAGTGCAACACCCTTCGCCCAGCCGCTGCAAATCAAACCACATCCTGCGCCTGCTTCCGCCTTCAAACCATCCGTGTATAAATGCACATTTCTGCCCGAAGCAAACACCTGGATCAGGTGCTCCGGGAAAAGGCTCTGATAATGCCTTTAACAGTCTGGCCTACGATTCGACGTAAGTTCTAGTGTTGGTTCACAGTGTAAACACTTGTTAGCACATGTTAAGTTCACAAAACTCATTGTGGGCGGGGGACAAGGATCAAAATTGTCAACAACAGCAACAACAACAAAAAAAACATATGCAGCGTTCGGTTCTTTTGACGCCAAATACACGCACACATTAGCATTTGTAGACACATATGCGTGGCTATCAAACGGAAGGTGGCATGCCGGTGCGAACACCGTTACATCACCGCCCTGCCGCAGAAGCGTCTGACCACACGCGACTGGTCTGACCAATCCACACAACACATCAGTTCTAGCTTTGGTGGACAGAGCCATTGAGAGAGACGAGACCAGACCCGCCGCACAGTCGTGCTCCGCCCTGCGGCAGAGACAGTGAGACGGACGCGCACGCGGCGGGCAGCGGCACCGGCTGGCGCTCTCACCTCCGAACGTGGCCGGCAGCACCGCGCGCAGACCGACGCAGCTGAAAACCACACCGACCGGCCGTCAGCCACGGGGCCGCGCCGCACACCCAGCCACATGGCCATCTGCGGCAGCACGGCACGCCGGCGTCATCTGTATCGGCCAGCACAAAAACGCCTGCCCAGCGAGGGCGGCGTGCAGATCCGGTCTGACAGCATCTGGCTAGCCCCGCGCTGCTTAGAAGTGACAATTGGCACGTACGCAAATGACTGGTAGCTTCGAATGACTCCGCCGGTTTTCACCAGAGACCGCGAGACAACGGCCCGGGTGGGGCAGTTTCACCTAAGTAGGCCCCGTGGTCATCTGCACACAAATCGCCGTCCCAGGCCACGCTCACACACGGAGAACTAGCCGCGATCGGCGCAGCAAAACGGCCTTTAGATCGCGGGGTGAGTTTTAATTCGGTGCATGATAATGCTGTCTAGCTCTGGCCCCGTTGTAACAGCCGATGTGCAGGGCTGGAAGCTCATGACCACGTCGGTTGGGCATGCGTCGGAGATCAAACAAACTCATGTGAAAAAGCTGGCCACTAGAAGGTACTCATCAAAACAAATGTGACTGATCTCTCACAAAGCCTCCAAAACACGGTGGAAAGGAAAGAAAATCCGTTTATCACATGATAGCAAAGCTGACAAGTACGGGGACTCTGTTCACCACTTGATAGTCAGGTAATGTGGCCCTGAGCTGCCACGACAGGGCTGTCACAGCAAGAGACCGTCTCTCGCCACGGACAGCCTCGCCTGCCGCCCCGCACGCCTGCCAGCAGACGCCGACTGACCTGAGGCGTCCGCAGGTGGGCTTGAAGCCGTAGCAGCCGGAGAAGAGCGCTGGCACGCGCACGCTGCCGCCCACGTCTGTGCCGACACCGAGGGGCGAGCCGCCGGCCGCCACCAGCACGCCCTCGCCGCCCGAAGAGCCGCCCGGTACGCGCCGGCCGTCGTAGATGTTGGTCGTGACGCCCCAAACCGGGTTACTGCAACCGAAGCTGCGAGGCAAGGATACATCGGGTTACTGCAACCGAATCTGCGAGGCAAGGGTACATCAGGGTTACTGCAACCGAAGCTGCGAGGCAAGGGTACATCGGGTTACTGCAACCGAAGCTGTGAGGCAAGGGTATATCGGGTTACTGCAACCAAAACTGCGAGGCAAGGATACATCGGGTTACTGCAACCGAAACTGCGAGGCAAGAGTACATCGGGTTACTGCAACCGACACTGCAAGGCAAGGGTACATTGGGTTACTGCAACCAAATCTGCGAGGCAAGAGTGCATCGGGTTACTGCAACCGAATCTACGGGGCAAGGGTGCATCGGGTTACTGCAACCGAAGCTGCGAGGCAAGAGTACATCAGGTTACTGCAACCGAACCTGTGAGGCAAGGGCATATTGGGTTACTACAGCCGAAGCTGTGAGGCAAGAGTACATCGGGCTACTGCAACCGACAATGCGAGGCAAGAGTACATGGGGTTACTGCAACCGAAACTGTGAGGCAAGGGTACATCGGGCTGCTGCAACCGAATCTGCGAGGCAAGGGTATATCGGGTTACAGTAGCCAAATTCCGGTGAGAACTTAAGGCCATGCGTCCCAGGTAGGGGTCACAAGGTGAAGCCGGGTAGGCACAGCCGAACCTGCGAGAAGCGAGTTAGGTTCAAAGGCAAGGGGTTCCGGTCACTGAGCCGGACCTGTGAAATGGGGGGGTCGAGGGTCGCAAGACCAAAACTCGACTCCAGGGGCGTAGCTTTACTCAGTTGGGAGGGCTGCGAACCACTTCCTCGAATCCTGAGAGGAAAGTGAGTGGAAATTCAGTAAGAAATCCTTTTAGGCGTATCTAGCGTTGGTTATAGCCACCTCGTCTAGCTCAACCCTTAACTTATTGTACTCGACTAGACTCCAGGTGGATTCGATGGAGGCGAGAAGAAAGGCATCAGATCTCTACCTATCTAGATGGTTTTGCCTTATCTGCAAGGAGGTACGTTACTAGACCCGAAGCAATTTTCGGTCAGGCGGCCGCCATCCGCCTCAACCACTTCTCTAGCGGGATTTTCGGACCCAAATGCGATAGAACGGCCGGCACTGCTCTACAATTTTCACATACGGCACGTGTGCCTACGTTTTTAACAGTTTCGGCGATATTGCAGGTGATCCGCAGGGAAGGGTGCTGTTAGACACGCGGCGACTCTCAGCCAAGCAGCCGCCACCCACGCGGAGCGCATGAAGAAAGCCAATTTTCGGACTGGAAGACGACAAGACGGTCGCACCTACTACTGCAGGAAGTTGTGCCCGTCAGGCCCCCAGTAAGCTCTTTGCATGCACGCCGAGCATTTGTTCTCCACCACATTGCTTTATAATGACATTCTGCACCTGCTCGAGCACGGCTTGTCGCCGCCTCTCCCGCCGGCCGGCCCGACTGCCGTTCGCCACCTTGTGTCGGCGGCGCGAAGGTTTCTTCATAGACCTTCACCGTAAGGTGGTGCATACGCACACGCACTAGCACGTGCACACGCACGCTAACGCACGCGGACGCGCGCACGTGTGGGTGCACACGCGCTGTCGTTTTCGCCCGGCCGGCGAGCGAGTGCTCACCTGATCATGGTCTGTGGGACATTGGTCTTGCAGAAGGGCACGCCGCCCAGGTCGATGAGCGTCTCTGCACGACAGGCGCCGAGCGCGACGCCGGCTGGCCCAGGTGCTTGGCCAGCCCGGCTGTTGAGTCGTAGCCCTCCAGGTCGACGCAGTCCTTCACGCTGAAGGGAAGGCCGTGCAGAGGGCCGCGCGCCGCCGCCGGCAGGCGGTCCAGCACCGATGCCCGGCTCTAGCGACATCGGCACCAGTCAGCGGCAGAGTGCCAGGTCACGAGTACCAGCACAGGCCAGTGTGCAGCACTGTCACAAGTCACAACTCATTGGTCAGGTGTGCCATTAAGCAAATTTAGTCACTCAATCAGGTGATTAGTTTATTATTTCACTTTTGGTAGTCAGATCTGCACCGCATTGTCATTTGCCCTGTGTTCATCCTTCCCTCACGACATTTAAATAATTATGATGACTTTGAATTGAAGTGTCAGGAAACATCATCTTGATTAATGAAAGCATACAGGTGTTAAACATTGCCATTATAGTACAAGTCTCACCTCAGCAGTTGCAACAAACTCTGTAACACAGTTGTATTTTGCTGATGCTTGCAGAGCCTGAAAATAGTGCATGTATGTCACACAAGAAAGTACAAAGTCAACAAATTATGTCAAATGTTCAACAGCACATCATCCTCAGATGGGTACACTGCAAATGGAAACATCTACAATCAATGGTCTCAGACAGAGCACAGAAATACACCCACCAGAGCTTAGAAATACACTTGCCAAACACTCACCTTGGCCTGGTAAGCTCTGAGTACCAGGACGGCCTTCAACTGCCCCACCTGCAACTGTTCTATCAGTTGCAGCAGAGGCAGCTCCAGGATGTCCATCCTCTCCTCGGTGATCAGGTTACCATCAACCAGAAGGTGTTTGGTCAACTGGACACGTCGCTGCCGCTCCAGCTCCAAACGCCGCTCGACCCGTGCGTAGTACTCTGGCTGCCAGAGATGTCACAATCTCAGCACTGAGCCTGGGCATAGCAGGCCGCCTGATGGGGTCACATAACTTGCCTTGGCTTGTGGGGGGCTTATTAGGCTGTGTCACCGAGCTGGCTACAGCAAGGAACTTTGAAACCTTAAATAGATGTTAACATTAGTGAAGCATAATATGTGGCAAAGAAAAATGGTAATACATAATGCTTTTCCGTAGGCTGAATGCACCTTCCAATAATAAGCAAAAGCCATAGTTATGCAATAACTGGCATTTTCACAAGGCCTTACCTTTGCTGAATTTCTCTTCTTCAGCCACCAAAGCAGGGTCATTCCTGATATAGCAGCGCAGCTTGCACCCACAACCCACAAATTCCACATGGAATCTGTCATGGTACTCATATAAGCTGAAGATTCTTGGTTTTGCCAGAGCTGCTGGTTCTGGTGAAAAATCAAATGGTACTTGGTGATATTTGCTACACAATCATAATGATTACCTGTGTCAAAAACTTAGCACCAATCATTTTGATATAGGGTGGCCAGTGGCCTTTTCATCACTTAGCTGCTTTGCACTGATAAATTACTCATTGGTCTGCCTGGCTAGCAGAGGAACAGTTTGAAGTTGAGACAAATGTGTATGATATCTTATGTATGCATATTGCTGGCCACTTAGCATCCAGCCTGCAAAACACGGCATATTTTGATGAGGTTTCAGGGCAGGATTGAAACAAGAATTGAGGTCATGGTAATGAATCACACTTTAAAAATCATTCCACTTCTCTTTTTTCAAATTTAATTTACTTCTTTTATAACAATAATGTTGTCATTATTATGAAAGCGGGGCATCATATCATCTTTCCTCATGGATATGATAACCATGACAACAAAGATGGGTATGATATGTTGGCAAACAACTTTCACAGTTTGCAGTTAATTTTGTACAAATGGTCTCATGCTATGTATGCCATACAGAAAGCATACAATGCCTGCATTGCAATAACATATGATTTTTTTCCACAATACTGAATAATACTACCATGTGTATATCCCTGAGAAGAGGTGTTATGCATCAGGATTATACACCCTCCAAAATGAGGCTGGGACTAAATGGATAGCAAAGCCTGCTGGCAATCCCTTGCTCCAAGCCTACAGGACAGAGCAGAATGATACATTTGCCAATTGACACACCATGGTAATGGTCAAATCACTTCGCACACAACCCCACGCTATGCGCTTATGGGACCAACAACACACAACCCTCCTCAGCTGATGCGCTCGGTCAGGGTGTACTTTCCCACCTAACGTTAGAAAAAATCATGGTACACCATCTGCTGTGTTTAAGGCAGGACAGATTGTAAATAATCACAAAAAAGGTAGATTCATGCTCTTACCTTCAAATTTTTTATGATTATGATGGCGAGCTCCCGAGCGCCGCACACACACAGCAGCTACGACCCCGGCGCCATTACTGCATGCGGTCACAACATTACTGCGCATCAAGCAGCATCAAGAACCACAAAAATGTACCGGGCCAATGTAGCAAGAATCCATGCGCAGGAACAGCGCTGGGAATTCCAGGCGATGGGGTGTGTGCGGCGCTCGGGAGCTTGCCATCGTAGTAATTGAAATTAGAAGATAGGAGCATGATTCTACCTGTTTTTAGATTATTTATGATATGTGCTGCCTTAAACAGGACGATTGGTGTGCAATGATTTTTTCTAACATTAGGTAGGAAAGTACACCTACACCGATGTGCTGTAGTTGACACTCTTCAGTTTTCTCAACATAGTGAGCTTGGGTTAAATCAAAGGCCACCCAAAATTTGAAACCAATCCAGTTGTCATGGTTCACAATCTATCCATTCCAGACATCGTCCAGAAATCCGAAAATTGTGATGGAAATCTGCACGCAACCACTGTGTCGTTGAAACCGATTTCTGTCCTGAAATGCTTTCCGTCAGTTTTCATCGGCGTACCGAGTTGTCCGAGAAGCAGCCTCAGGGTAGACAACCGCACAAGGAAGACTACAAAGAACAAACAACAAATGATGAACAATAAAAACAGATGCAGCAATGACCAACACGCCCACCCAAAGCCCTATAACGCTGCGCTCAACAACCACGCGCTGCCCACCTATCTTTCTGTTTTTTAACAGTGTGTGTTTGACTCCGTCGCGTATTAATTGTAGCTTAATCATATTGATGCTCCCACATTACTGCCATATTAAGGGAAACATCGGGTTGTCCAAAAAATGTGCAGCGGACGGGCTAGTTCTGTTGGCACCAGACTCTCATTTCACATTCATATTTAGGTCCATACCAGATTTCAGCGTACACTTCTGATTGACCTGAAATATAGCCTGATGACGCAGTTGAGTCCTTTGGCTATCATGAGCACAGATCTAGAACCGGCTACCGCCCAATTACCGCGACACAGCCTGCATCGCACATCATGATAAAAAAGCGAACCCCTTTAATTCTCTTGAAAATCGTTGTGCAGATGGATTTTGACTTCTTGATTGCCGTGAACACAAAACCTAAGACCAGTACACCATATCCGAAAGGTTACAGCCTTTCAAGGTCGCTCATTCGAATGCCGATGTCGCTAAAAAGCGCGTTTTATTAACATTGGCTCAGCTTTTAATTCTAGATCTAGCGGACTTAGAGGGTTGCCAGCAATTTTGCATACAGATGCTGCCCATTCTTCTGAGCACAATGAGCACAAAACCTAAGTCGGCAGCTCGCTCCACGATGAGGCAGCACGGTAGCAAACCACCTCCGATTGGCCGAGAGTTTGCGCCCCGGCAGAGCTTCAGAGCTCCGGTCTCCGATGAGCGGGTGGCCCGGCGTGACGCCACGAATTAACACAATACACACGACTGCACACACGAAACAAACACATACGCTGAATCGTAGCGGCTGAGTTGGTTGTGAAGGGTTTTACGTACTTTAAGCGGCGGCGAGTGATCGGGCAGCAGAGCGTCGTCAGGGTATGCTGCCACTCGACAAACTGGTTTGTGACAGTGAAGGCCATTTGTAAATAAGCTAAGGAGCACCGGCCTGGCGATGCATCCCTGGGGCATACTGAAGCGGACCGGTGAAGTCGTCGTACCGCCTCTCGCCAGCCAGCGGCTTCTGATCATCCGGATAGCTTCGGAACCATGTTGGGTTGATTCCGTACCATCCCAGCTTAACGGGATGCTATCGTCAACCGTGTCAAATGCTTTGCTGAGGTCGGCGGTGTTAACTGGGGAAATCTCGCCGCGTTCTGAGTTGTGTTTGATTCATTCGACAGCGCCGGGCACGGCGTCCTCGGTGCAGTGGCAAGGCCTGTCTGCATATTGGTCATGAAATAAATTACTGTGGTTATGCAGATACCGAGAGAGTTATTGCAGACAATATTCTTAGCTCTTTTGGACAAGCAAGACGGCAGGGAGGTCATGAAATATTTAGAGGGCATGTGTACGTCGCCTTTCGCTTTGTAAATGGGGACCACCTCGGCAGTTTTCGACCCATCGGGAACAAATGCCCTTTGTCACGGCAGCGTTGACAACGCGCTACATACGGCGGCCTATCGCTGCGCAACACCTCTTGACTGACCCCACCAACACCCCATCCAATCACCAGCTTCAGAAGAGTTCATGCGTCACACAGCTCCCGCCAGCTCCGGTAGGGTGGCTGGCTGGGGCTGGAATGGCGCCGAGACGACGGTAGGCGGTCGCCGTTCCCGACCAGCTATTTTCAGGTTGTGCGCGATCCGGGAGCCCACCGACGGAGATAACTGGTTGAAGCGATTGCCCTGGTGCAAGAACCTGGTGAGAATTCGTTGTTCTGCGTGGCTGGTGGTTTGGGCTGAAAGTGCTGAGCCGGAAGGCGTCAAGAGGTGGGACCAAAAATATCGGCCGTTGGAACTCAGTGGCTGGCGGCCGAGAAGTTATCCGCAATTCCGGACCGGGTTCCGGAAGCGGCAGAAGTCCTCTCGAGACTCCATGCCTGGTCTGGTCCCGAGATCTCGCCAGGCCTGGTACGTTTTGTGCCGCCCAGACGTGACCTGGCGCAGCTCAGGACCGTCTATAAGCCATGGGCAGCCCCCCCCCCTCGGCGGCACCGAATGGTATGGGCTGGACAGTGCCGATCTATGACCGTACACCATATGTATGGTGACACGGCATGCATGGTGACCCAAGATCACCATGTTCTGCAATGGACAGGTTATCGACCATGGCGCATAACCTTGATGAAGGTTTCGTGGAGATCAGTTCCATATGTTAGGAGAAAAGTGTTGTCTGCAACCAGTTTTGGTGGTTTTGAGCGTTTTTTCTTGACCTTTGACCAGACCCAAGGTTACCGCATTCTACGAAGGATAGGGGGGGAGGGCAACATGGCACATCGATTGGGAATTGGCAAAGGTTTGTGTAAAACATTCCACCCCTCGTGGTGCGCGACTTGTTCTCCGCACGCGGCCACCATTTTACGCCCAAGGTGGAAGGAGCGCGGGCGCCTTCTCCTGTATGGCGCGAGTCCGGTTGCACCGGACGCCTCGAGGTCGTTGGTTCCGAGATCTGTCGCCAGGTGGCCGTCATCCTGGCTGTCGGCTACACCGGCACTGGAGACGCGGCCGGCCGCTAGGTGGCGGGAACAACAGTACCAGGCATCCCTGGTGCCGCAGACGAGTACTGCGTGTGTGTGGGGGGGGGGGGGGGAGGGGAAGCGAACGCCCCGCCCCAGGGCGAGCGTGATGTGGGCCGTGGACAGCGGCTTCTGTAGGCACTCCGCACAGTGACCTCTATAGGGTGGGTTGTTGGGGACGGGTCAAAGAGGGTGGGACTCTGTGGCCTTTACGGGAGACTCCTTCGCGTGTCTTAATATACGTAGTTTGTTTTTATTCATAAAAATGCGCGTTTGTTATTGTATGTCAGTGAATGCATATTCACCATAAGTCGGGTGGCGTGTGTAATATACAGGTACAATGAGATTGTCTTTCCCTACCTGCTTCGCTGTGCCAGGGTTGCTCTGTGGTGAATACTAAATCGACTCTTCCGGGTCCACACATCCATACCGCGTGGCAGGCGGAGCAAGTGTGCATTAATTTGAGCCACAATTCATTGATGTGGCCGATTGGTGCGATGTGATATTTCGCGGTAACGGCTGGCGCGGCGCGCTGGCTGAAGGCGCGAGAACATAAGGTTTGGTGGCAATCGGTCTTATAGACTCGGGGCATTGGACTGCAGCCAATTTTTGTGGTTTGGGGAGTGTTAGTGATTTCGAGCTGAGTCAGGGTTGCCATGTTCTGGAACGGATATGATACCTAGCCCGGCGCATCGACTGGTGAGGATTTGGTGGAGATCAGCCTCATAGACTTGCGTATTAGGCTGTCGGTGTACTGGTGTAACGGATTTTTGCATCTTTGGTGATTTTAGACCTGATTCAAGGTAATCATCTTTTAGAGGAATGGATTTCTATTTGAGCGTTATAAAAAATGAGGACATTGTGTCGATTGACATCATAGGGCTGGAGTGCGTGAATGACAAGTTTTGTCGGCTATTTAGTCCTCGCGTACATTTCAGAATGGAGTGCGGCAATAAGGAAGCAGGTCGCTGTTCGCTATTCGCTCGTCGTGGGGGTGTGGATCTGGATGCTGGGATTTGAATGGCGTTTGAATGGGACGTACCGAAGCGGTAAAATGCATTCGATCCTGTGCGGAGCTGGCGAAACCGCAACGTGTGTGGGCACATTAGTTTAAACACTGAGGTGGGTTGATCATATGACACGGTAGTGGTCATGTTAAAGCTCGATTAAATTATCCTGATTGCATCATCTTTGTTTGGAGGTTATACCACGTAGCCTTCCTTTGATGACCCATAACCTGCTAGCACATCCAGTGGGCAGATGATAAGCGGGTGTTCTTTACCTTCCGGCCGACAATGTTTGCGGAGGGAAGAGCGTCGGCTTAGGTCTGTAATGAGGGCCGGCTAATCAGCTGACGACACGTCGCTGCCAGGCTGGGTAAAGCATCTCAATGACAAGTTTGTTGCTAGTCATGACGTCACTGGTAGAAATGTAAAAAAAACAACTTCCTTTACTTCTCACAATATCACAAGGATTTATCAGCCACTTATGATGGCAATATTGAAAACCAAGCAGGTATTCGTAATAACACGTGTCCTTCATCCCACTGATGGCGTCACTGGTACAAATGAATCGGTCATCAGTTGAAAACTATCAGTGGGACACGTTCTTCGGGCTGTATTTTCCCGCTGCTCACGTCGTTCCGGGAGACTGTTATGGTGTACGTGCATCTACCTACGTACTCGTGGTTTACATTCTTGTGCCATTTGAAAAATAAATGAAGAAAAATAAGCTGCGTTTTACCTTCTGCTCATGACGTCACGTGACACGAGTTATGGTCTTCGTTTCGTATCACTGTGGAACCTGATAATGGCAGAAAACCACCTTTCCCAGCAGACTTCCTCAAGAAACTACTGCAAGAAGGTCCAAGTAATCCATGAACAAACCGCATTCAGGCATGTCCACACTGAGCTGCCAATGGGGCCGGAAAAAGTCATGAACTGGCTCAACGTTTTCGGTTACCGGCATTATCGGTCTTTAACAAACATTCCAAAATAGTGTCCATCGGTGCAACCAGTGGTGGACATCATTTTGACATGGTTTAGACGGCAATGGTTCCTCCTAGACTTGAAACGCGGGTTCCGTGAGTGTTATGGCACCCTCACCATTAGACACTGAGAATGTATGTAGAGCATTAACGTTATGACAATGGATGGGAAGAATCGACTACAACATGACTATGAGCTCCCTTACTTTCTGAGACGTTCCTCCGTCTATGTTTCGGGTGCCAACGCCAGATTTTGTATTACATTTGCAGCCCAACTCTTTAATTTACCTTCCGGTCGTCTGCTATGAACTCTCCAATTGCAATGCGTGGCGTTGCTTTGCTGCGTTTGGAAACGACTGCAAAGTGTTTGAAATTATTTCTGAACAAAATGTCTTTTAGGTGAGTCCACTTCGAGTCAATAGTATGGCCGTTGATGCGCATAATCGTAGTTTTTACCTTTTGGGCCGTCAGCGTTATGCACCCA